AATTCTAAATTCTTTGAAATTCATGGATAATACCTTAAAATGATTGCCTATTTGAGAAAATGATTAATTCATTTTGAATAAAAAACTTTTAGTGAGTTGGCTACCTTATTATGGATTAATTAATTAAAATATGATAATGACTAAACTAACTATAAGTATATATTACTCTGTAAATACCTTTTTTTACTATTTGTTCAGAAAGTTAACATTCTGTTCAGCCGAATGTAGATTTGTTTCAGTCCGAGATATTAACGTTGATCAATGAAACGCGAAAAGAAGGGATATTGCAATATTATGTTTAATATTTAATTAAATCATAGACACGTAAATCGAAATTAATCGCCATTCAAATAATCGTTTATTATCTAAAATATCACGTGAGTTGATGTTGTTTCATAATCCTCTTAACACGTGATACCTCTAATCATCACCCCACTTAGGGATAACCTGGTCTCCTTTTTGTAATACCTGGATATAAACTTTGACTTTTCAGATGAACAAATGCATTTAATCTAAAGAATGTACGAAAATGGCGACCGTTAACATAATTTATTTTTTTTTATTTATTATTATTCATTTTACATGAAAACTTGAACTAAAATAATTTTTTACTCTTATTAGAAAATTAATGCTAACAATAGTTGGAAGCTTGAATTAATCGATCATTTTAATGAGATGACATTATTGAAAGAAGGGATTCTGATTTCAAAAGGCTTCACGTGATGTGTAAAGATTTACACATCACGCGTAGCAACAGAAACGGAAAAATTTTAGGTAATAGCTCCAAGTAATTTTTTATTTATTGTATCTTTACTTTTTAATATGAGATCAATACTAACATGGTAGATTTATTAGTTCTTTTTAACTTCCAATGTTCAGGACCCGTCCAATTACGTAAGAACGCAGAATCAAAAAAAGGAAACAATGTCTTCATTTTCGTCTATAGCCATGACATAATCTTTTTCTACCAATCGCACATGTTGTCTTTAATACATCATTATAATCTCTATTCAACCTTTCTTCATTGTCATTTCTATTAATTTCATACAAAATCACTATCAACTCCCTTTCATCATCATTATGCAAAGTATAATCAAAATCAAGATCGCTATCTCTCCTGAAAAAATTAAATTAAAATCTTTCACAAATATCTGAATACAACGATGTTTAGTAATGTTAAGGGTTATCATCATCTGATAATATCTATTATTTTTGCCATCCGTTTCGACTGATAATTATTCAACAGCAGAAGTCTTTTTAAAAAATTGGATCAACTAAGTATTTGAAGATTTCTTTGCACTATAGTCTTCAACATTGTAGTTTATAAAAAATTTCACGTTAATATATTTAATTTCTAACTTAATCACTTGTAATAATATTATTAACCTTTTTACGAGTACGTCTTTTAGGATCAACATCATCTCAGTTTTTTTTCTTTCTCTCCAATTTCTGTAGTTTCTTTATCTATTTAATAAATTGTAATTATAAAAATGAAAACAAAACAGATATTTAATTATTCATAATTCAAAGAAATAACGATAAGAAACGATGGGAATCCGTTGTTTTTATTGAATCTGAGGATATGGATGAGCGAATCATTTTTTGCATCTGGAAGAAGATATAGCTGAGAAAGGATCACCTACTTCCCGACGATATGTTTTCGTCTAAGCATTTACTAAATTATTCTTTAAAACTAAATATATAGCTTTAAATTTCCTTTCATTACACGAGTTTAATATTTTAGAACGTAATATAAACATTTGATTGTATTATATTTTTTTTCGTTGCTTAACTCGAAATGCCAATATGAAGCCTGAGTTCGTTGATGGTAGGTATTTGAGTCGTTTTTATAAAATTATTTTTAAGTTGGATTAATTAAGCATACCAAAAATTACATAGGGGAGCTTATCAATTTGGTTGATCCATGACTTTTTTAATTTTTATATGATCGTATAATAATGGCATAAAATCAAAATTAAAAACCTAGTTCGTAAAGATAAATGAAAATAAACCCTTGTCAGTTATTTTGTATCTATGAAATGAAATTCACCGTTATGATGCGGATTTAAGTATGCAAGCACAAAAATCATAGAAGTTACCAAATGGTAAGTTGCAAAATCGATTATTTATAAATATTATAAATATATACATGTACCTTATCGTCTATACTAAAAGTATACAAAATATTTGGAAAAGGCAATCAAGCTTTTTGGAAAGGCTGCCGGTCGAGTTGCCTTATTTTGTGGTTTTCCATCTCTCTAGGAAGTAGTAAATGGGATGGTATAGTTGATTCATCATTTCTATCTAAAACATCCCACGTAGCACGAGGATGCCTTTAATCACATCAGATAAAATAACCATCGAAACAAATTAGAATGCCAACCTCTCAAGAGTCATAATTTAAGAAATCGTGGCTTCGTTAGTACTAATTCAGAAACGATTCTCAATATCTTCGATAGTTTGGAAGTCCTCTAATCAAAGGATAACATGTTGACGTGTTGATCTTCTCTCTCTCTAATCTAAGAAAATGTCAATAAAGTGGTAATGGAATATTGTATTATGTATACGATTTTTTCCAATCTGTTACAGTAATATAAAAAACAAATATCGTACCAATATTCCATCATACTAGGTACATAGTTTTTATGACCTGGTGACAATCTATCTGTTTCAAAAAGAACACCCACATTCAACTGATTTCCCCTGTAAAAATAAAATCATTCGTAAATAATACGATAAAATACAAAATACAAATAAAATACCTTTGCACGTTATGTGCCCAATTATAAATACCATGTCTCCCGTCTTTACAGAAGTAAATTAATTATTGACTCTCTGAATGATACTACAAGATATTATTGCCCACAGTGCATCTAATTACAAATTGAAATATTGTTTGGAGCTATATGTCAATTGTTGTTCCTCCGGATATAACTATCAAAGAGCAACAAATGGAAATTAATTATAATACTAAGCTACCTTTCAATAACTTAGTCATCCACAAGCTTTAAACCTCTTCCGAATTCTCTTTAGGAGTTTTACTTTATATTCTCTTCGGATCAAGACATATTTCGTTTTTTTTTTTGATTAGATGTTGATCCAACTATTATAATTTTTTTTGTAATACATGGCACATATATTGATCTGTGCGCGCCTCAGAAAATTTCTTCAAGCTTTGAAAAGCTAAAATTACGCGTTTATTTTTTCTCTCTCAAACATGTCAATTTTTAATAATTTTTTAATGATCATACTAACTAAAAAATTTCATTTTTTGAAGAAACCGTGTAAAGTTAGATTTTTTGATGCCACTAACAAAGTTGGTCACATTCTCGCTCGGCGACATGTTCATTTAGTAGAGCAGTATCTGAATTCCAGCTGGAATATTGGCCAGTCTGATTATAACATTTATGGCATTTCCTAATATATTTGTTAATCATGCGAGTTTACCATTGCAACGTTATGAAAAAAAAACTTTCCGATAAAGGTTTCGTCTCTCCGTGTTTGACAGAACAAATCCGCTTAATATTTTGCCAGAAAATATTTTCACAAAAGTAAATTAATTATTGTCAATTTAAGCAATTTTGTCTATGCGTTAAATCAACACGAGAAGGGTAAAAAAAGGTATTTATTTTAATAAAATTGTGTTCTTACAAGTTCATTGAATTAAAAACCATTTATAATTTAGAAAGACAGTTCAAATGGAATTGGCACAGACAATTATCAAGGTGGAACTGCTATGATGATAATAACCGAGAGTTTATCATTAATACACCGACATTATTAGCAAAAATATTGAATCACAAATGTAGATTTTTTTAAAATTTTTTCCGTGGGCAGAATGAAAGAATACGCGCTATTCTTATTCTAATTCGCGAGGAAAAGTGAATTAATCTGTTTAACAAAGTTTCATAATTCCGATTGATCTTAATGTGTCATAATTGAATATATGGGAGTAGATAATGGTATTTCATGTGAATTATTTTTTTTTTTAATAATCAAATCATTACTAAATAAATGTATTTCTATCATACAGATCAGGTAGCGTTTGGAATTTTGGAGGAACTAAAAAGATTTTGAAAATCTTATCTATTGCAATCGATTAGCTATTGGACCAAGGTAAGATTATTTTAATCTTATCATTAAATCGACAGAACATATACTTATGATATCAGAATTCAATACCTGCAGTGACTGAACAATCATTAATTCGAGAGATCGCTAAAGAAGTTGCATGCAACTTGTTGATGCTGATTCTCCTTTTTTTAATTACTTTAGGTGTAAAGGATATATAGGTTAAAATGAAGGCCAATTATGAGCATACAATAATTGGAAATATCGATTATTATTTTATCCATAAGTTGATACTTTGAGTTTTTGTTTTGTTATTTAATGATTTATTAATTAAATCTATGAAGCCTTATATTCTTTTGAATGATCGTATCTTTTATATGTGGTTAATATGATAAAAAACTATTACAACTCGTTAATAATAGCTGTCACATGATACTGGTAAATTTTCTTATGCTCTGTGATTCTCGAAAAATATTTTATTTTTTTTTTTTTTGGCATTTCAGACTTGTTACTTTTAATTGCCATAAATATCCTATCGTTCAACAAATGATATTATACTCCTGGCAGCTGAGTTGGAAATCCAATCATGAAATATCGTTGCAGGAGCATAATTAAAGTTTATATTTATAATAAATTTTGATACGTATTTTCAAGCGAAAACTACACATTTTTATTACGTATTTCACAAAATTACAAACAGTTTGTTTTCTTCAAATTACTTCATTAGTATACTTTAACTTTAATGATTTTAATTTTTTGTCATTATTAAATTTAAATTTAATTCATCAAAATATTTACTTCAAATTCAACTATTAAAATCTCATAGTGAACATCTCATAGTGAACAATACATGATAAGGACAAAGTAAATATACCTAAAAATTTGCTTTGACAAAGTTCTATATACATGAATAATTGGTTAAAAATTCATCACGATTTTTTTTTGTTTTTTTCTTGGGGTTGGGTTCCTGGGGTTCTTGGGGTTGGATTCTCGGGGTTCTTGGGGTACTTGGGTTCTTGAGGTTGGGTTCTTGAGGTTGGGTTCTTGAGGTTGGGTTCTTGAGATTGGGTTCTTGAGGTTGGGTTCTTGAGGTTGGGTTCTTGAGGTTGGGTTCTTGGGGTTGGGTTCTTTAGGTTCTTGAGGTTCGCGTTTAACCTTTTTTGATGTCCTTTGAATCTTCTCGGTTTTTCAACCTTTCCTTTATGAAATCATAAGTTTCTTCAATCTTTTTCTCTTTCTCCTGATTCAATTGAATTCGTTTTGGGTACTGCGTATCTTGAAATAAGTTTTTAATGTTACTAAGAAGGATATGATTAATAAAGATGTGTAATAAAAACGTATGGCTTACAATTGTAAGAAATTTAAAAGAAGAAAAAAAAAATGATCTTAAAGAACTGTGTGAAAGTAAAATATGACTTTGAAGTAAAATATGGCTTTGAAGAGTTGTTAAGGATAGTGTTTAAGAAGAGAAACAATAGACTTGAATATTAAAGAAAGTGTTTAGGTTAAAAACAATAAAGAGGAACAATATACTCGGTAATTCAACTAAAATATTGAGCTCTTATATAATTTCGCGTGTTGTCCGCACGCGTGACGTTTTCCATATATCAAATATGTAAGCTTGTCTGAACGCGTGATAGTTTGCATATTTGTACGACATAAATAATTGCTTTGCAACGGAGTAGATCGCGTGACGTTATACGAATATCCAAAAAGGAAATTTGTGCGACCAATTTTGAGACTCAAAACTCGAATCAGGGACGATGATTTTCTGTATTTCACAGAATTTCAAAATTTTGGCCCGATTTATCATCGTAATGCTGGCTGATATTAAGTTTGGCCAGAATTTGCGAATCGTAATGTTGGCTGAACTTGCATAATTCTGGTCAAATCACAGAATTTCACAGAATTAACTTTTATCACATGCAGAATTCATTCTTAATCACTGCAGAAATCATCATTCCTGATTCAAATTTTACAGCAGAGTTAAAAATCTATTTATTGGTCTGATTTTATGAGACGATCAATATTAATCAGCTAATAAAATACAAATATTGTGTAACATAAATTTAAAAATTTATCATTATTAAAATAAAAAAATTATATTTTTTTATTTCAAATAATAATTTTTTAAAAACAATATTAGTAATATAAAACCCTTTAAAATTATTTGAAAAACCTTTATTTATAATATTATTTATTAATTATAAACCACAAATTTATATTTCAAAATCAACTGGTATATAATTTTCAAATAAATTTTGTTGAAATTTTATAATAATTATATAAGATTAAATTAAAAAAGAATAAATCAACTTACCTAATATCCTTTTCTTTAATTCTATATCAATTTCAATTTTTCTGATTACTGATTTCATTACACAAATATAATTTTACTATGATATAATTTTTTCAGAAATATTTTCACGTTATTTTGTAAATTCTAGTTATTTTATTTTAACATGCAATTTGTTAATCATTGTATGACAGTTTTATTAATTTACTTAAATTTTTTTTTAAAAAAAAATAAAAATAAAATAAAATAAAATAAAAAAATAAAATAAAACGAAAAGAAATTAAATAAAATGAAAAAATAAAATTAAGAAACTGAAATGAAACTATAAAATGAAATTAAGTAAACAAAACAAAACGAAAAAATGAAATTAAACAAATAAAAAGAAACTATAAAATGAAATTAGGAAAATGAAATGAAATGAAAAAATAAAATTAAATAAACAAAATGAAAAGAAAAGATGAAATTAAATGAATGAAATAAAAAGAAAAAATAAAATTGAACAAAACAAAAAAATGAAATTAAACGAATGAAACAAAAAAAATTAAATTAAATGAACGAAACAAAATAAAAAATGAAATTTTAAAAAAATTAAAACAAAATGAAAAATTTTATTAATAATTATTGCCTTGTAGACTTTATAAGCACATCACGATTTTGTCATGTATTTTAGTTTGTCTCACAGGTATATTATGATTTTATCTTATATTTCAGATTTGCCTCTATTAGGCAAATTACAATTTCTCCTTTGAGTGTGTCTCAATTCTAAAAAAGTAAATATATTTAATATAAATCTAAAAATTATTTAAACATTTTTAATTATTATCTGATTTATTCTAGAATTGAGTCTTAAAGAAGTTGTATAATCTTTCTGCAGTATAGGTTTATTTATCACTTCTTGTCGCTCTATTTCGATAATTAAAAAAGTCTTAAAAGATATTAATTATACTATTAAGTTATATTTATCATTATATTGTTATTCATTTATTTACTTACATTATAATCATATACTAAATTCTTTCATTTTAGCTTGCATTAGCGAGTTAAATATATCTTATTATATCTTTGATTTATTCTTTAGGCTACACTCCACCAGAATCCTGTCTTATTACCTCTGTACCTGATATGATACTCTTCATTTCTCTTTCTTCTTTTCTTAACTAATAAATTGATTTATTATCTTCTTAAATTATTCTTGTGAAAAATTTTGCATTTAATTTAAAAAAGATTTAAAGGAGTAAAATTAAGTAATTTAAAGGTAAATTTAAAATTCAAAAGATGAAAAATTTTATGATGGTAAAAATACTTCTCTTTATAAATAAATTATCCATTTGATTTGATATCTTATGAAATTCTTTACTTATGATTAAAATAATATAATTTTGATTGAAATTCTGATTTATATTAAAAACAAAAAATCAAAATAATAATTTAAGTATCATATTATAATTGTATAGTATATTATTTATAAAAATAGATCAATTCAAATATAACAAGTAAAATTTATGATTAAAATAATATAATAAGAACTCTTTATGATTAAAATTCTGATTTATATTAAAAATAAAAAGTCAAAATAATAA